GTCGGTTTTAGGTGACCAACTCTCCAACCTGATCAAGGCGATTTGATTGACCAAACAACCTACAACCAACCCATGAACGCTCCTAATTTTAGCTAAATTAATAGTCAATCTCTAATAAATAGCAATAGCTTAATCTCCAATAATTATTGAAAATTTATAGTGAAAGCACATAATTATTGAAAATATATTGATAATTAAAATACAATAAATAACAATAAAAATTCAATAATTACAATAATTATAAAATACAATAAATATTAAAAAATATATTAAATTAGTCAATAAATAGTGTAATCTCAAATAATATTCTAATCCCTAATTAATATTAATCAATAAAGTATAACAAAAATACAATAAGTGCAATAAGTTAAACTAAAAAAGTTAAATAACAGTAGTTTAATCTCCAATAATTATTGAAAATGTTTTGTTAAATAATAAACAGAAATAGATTTTTAGATAATTATAGAAAATATATTTATCACAAAAAATAATAAATAATTACTTAAATACAATAAATATTAATTTTAGTATATATGAATATATAAAAAAATATAGATTAAGATTTTACAATTATTATTAATAAATATTAATTTTTTTTGAAAGTTACTTTCTAGAATTATTAATTGATATAAGTAAAATTAGTTATTTGCAATATTATTTAGTTAATTAAGTAATATCATCATTTAAATTTTAAAATATTAATTACTTATTGAATTTAATAATACAAAGTTATAATTTATACTATTATTACATAATTTCGATTTTAATTTTGTAAAATATTAAATTATTATTATTTTGAATATTATATTATATTTTCTAGTTTTAATTTTTTTTTAATTTATTACATAATTTCATTATTTTGACTATTTAAAATCTAGTTATGTTAAATATTTTGTTAGTTACAATATTTAGTTATTTAAATATTTAAATCATATATAAAATATTTAATATTTTTCGTTATTTTAATTTTATTTGTTTTAAAGTTATTACATACTATTAAATATTTTGTTATTTAAGATATTTAGTTATTGAAATATTTAAATAATACTTTATTCTTTAATGTTAAATTTTTATTATTTAAATAACATTTAAATTGAATAATCCAGAAAATCATAATTTATATTGTTAGTACATAATTTCATGATGAATTTAGTAAAAATATAAAATTATTAATAATATGAATATTACTAAATCTATTATAATTATTTTTGTATTTTTAATAAATATTTTAAAGTTATTATATAATTTCGTTAGAATATTAAATAATTTTTAAACTTTTTAATTATAGATATAAATAAAAAGTGGGGAGAGAATAAATAGGAATTATAGATAATTTAGGACACATATATATATATATATATATAGAGAGAGAGAGAGAGAGAGAGAGAGAGAGAGAGAGAGATTTTAGGAATGAGAGCATCTCATTGGTTGTTTAAAAAATGACATAGAATAAAAAAATAAAAAAAATGAGAAATTTTCTAGACTATTGTCTTTTAATATATACTAGGAATGACCCCCATACTAAGTGTGGGACCATTGATCTGAATTATTTCAAAATTTTAAATTCTTTATATTAGACATTTAGGTTAGGCTTTTTATTAGATTTAGGAGACTTAACATGTTGTATCTAGAGAATGACCTCATACTAAGGGGCAACTACAGTATCATTTGATTTGAAATTTACTATTTAACTATAAAAATTAAATTAGAAAAATTAACATGGGTCTTACATCTTTGTAATTTGCAATCTATTTTGACCTACTTTGTTTGAAAAACACTATTAATTTATGTTTTTTTTAATATAATTTAAGAGATTAAATGAGGTCTTATTTGTAAGCAGTAACCTACTTTAATTGGTATTTACTATTTATTTGATAAATTTATTTTTAAAAGCTAAATTAGGTTACGCTTCCAAAAAATGTTAAATCTAATTTACAATTAATAAACAATTTCATCTAAAAGAATGAAACTCACACCATTTGTATTAATTGTTTAGTCATTTTTATGAATTTCATTTATTTTTTTATCCATTTAATATCTTGAATATTTTTAAGTTAAATTATTTGTTTAATCTTTACTTTTGAAATGGTTGTGTTTGAATAAAATTTAATTACTACCATAACATTTGAAGTGGCCACTTTTTAGGGATTAGGGTGATACATGTGTGAATCTCAAGATAGTGGATTTATCACTTTTTTGTGAGTGGATAGATTTTTTTAAGAGTGAGAGTTTAACCCCTTCTAAGATTCTATTTATTGAAATTTTACAATGCCAGTATTTAAAGGGTTGGTACTGTTGCTTGGGACCTTCTTTTAATATATATATATATATATATAGAGAGAGAGAGAGAGAGAGAGAGAAATTAGAAATAGAAGTGGAGAGGATAAAACATATTTTGAGCTAATTAAGGAGAGAAGTTAGGTTGTCAGAAAGTGAGTATAGAAGTGGAGAGGATAAAACAAATTTTGAGCTAATTAAGGAGAGAAGTTAGGTTGTCAGAAAGTGAGACGTGAGTTGTGGGCGGAGAGAGAGATCTCAATGGGAAGGGAGAGGAATGAAAAGAGAGGGTGCTGAAATGGCAAATTGGGAATAGAAGGAAGGGGGTAACGGAGAATGCAGGATTGGGGGTAATAGAACAAGGAGAAGAAAGGTGACGTGGACTAATTAGTGCTATATATGAATACATATATGTATTCATATATGTATGGTTTATTAAAAAAATGTGTGTGTATGCATATATGTATGGTTTATTAAAAAAATTATGCATATATGCATACAAATATGTGTTTATATAATACATACATGTATAAAATCAAATTGAGCTCAAATTAGGATAAAGTCAAAGTTAGATTCGATCTACCTAAGGGTTATGTGGGACTAAAACCAATTAGTGCTAGCTGATCCTAAATGCAACACTTCGTAACTTATGCCCTCCCCTAGTCTCCCCTAGTCTGATAATTTATCAAGTGGTTTTGTTAGATACAACTTCGAAAAAAAGTCATCCATGAATATTAGGAGGTAGAGCCTCTTATGCAAATATGATCCAAATGCAAAATTTGCATTCAATTTAATTTTGCATCACTCCTACCTGATGCAAAATTTGCACTTTTTGCATCTTAAAATCTCAGGTTTTGCATATTAAAAACTCAAACAAAATTAAATTATATACACCTTCCTATCTCAATCGAATGAGCAAATCTTGCTACCTATTTTGCTCCTTCAAAACAAATGACCTTCCTTTTACTTATATTCTCTTTCATATAAAGTTGGGATCACATCATTTTAGTTTCTAATAATTAAGCTCGTTGGGCTTCTAATGACCATGTTGGGGGGTTTCTAATAAGTGCTTCTAGGGCTTATTGCATTCAAGAAATCAAAAGTGCCAAAAAATAATGTTTGATAAATAAAAAAAGCCACAAATGGACATTTCGGACCTAGAAGCCTGTTCAAAGAAGTCAAGAAAAAGTCATTTGGCTTTTTTGTGTTTATGAGAAGCGGCTTTTCATATTTTTCATAGAGAAAATCAAGCAGAACCAAACACTAAAAAGTGCTCTCTATAAGCAATTCTTCAAAAAGTAGTGCTTATTAAGAAACCCGTTCAGAGAGGAAAAGTACGCAATAATTTGGTATATGTTTAGCACTGGTGTACCGGTGCGTTTCACGACTGTTCCATTTCTGCTGATGTGTTTATATGCGCCACATCAGCAAATAAATGGAGTCAGCAAGAAAATCGCATTTGGCAAATGTATTTCTAAAATATGCTTCTGTAATGTAGAATTCCCTAAGAGAAATTTCTTGATATGTCAATTTGATGTTTTCTTGAATCACCCTAATGATATGGTACATTTTAATTTGAAAAGGTGACTATTTTTTGAGATATCATACAGTTGTCATTATAAATATATTATAATATTAAGCTAAATTCAATTTTTCAAAAAAAAAAACAGATAAAACAAATCACTTATAAATTAGGGCCCATTGGTGAAACAGAACGCTTGTGAAATGCTCCCGTGCCAAACAACTTCTTGATCCCGGTTTGATACCATTTACACATCCGATCTTTGGCTTTGGCCTGTAGCCTTGGACTAGGTTGGACCTTTAAACTTAAACCACGATATTAGGACTTAGAGACTAAATCTTATCAGTTCAGTCATCAAGGTGACACCTCTTCATATCCACGTGGCAGGGTTTATTTTGTACGTATAAATGTGATGTGGAAAAACACATGGGCATACTTTGAGAATCTCTTGTGCCAAATGCCAAGTTATATAAAAAATTTCAGTCCTGCTTTAAGCTTAAAGGCTAATTAAAGCGTTGAAACTGAAAAGATAGCCAAATGAACAAGAAATAGCAAAGCCAGACCGACTGCTAAACTAAAGAAAAGCCGCAAACCTCAAGCATGTCATGTAAGAGCTAAGATAGATTTTGTAAAACTTTTATATTCCCACTAATAAAGCGAGAAGAAAAAAAGAATTTGCCCATCTTCATGGACAATCCAATGTACTAGAGATGGATGACATCTTCATGTATATCATGGACCCTGTTAACATCTTAGTCAATAGATTTCAAGATAAACCAACCACTAGGACAACTTTTTATTAATTAATCATAATTAAGTATCATATAATTAACATCATTAATTCTATCTAGATACTTCTAATATGTAATATGGTTTATTTAATTACTTCTACTTAAATTAATTTCTTCCCATATACAAGTGGGCCCATATCGACCTGGCTCTTGCCCTCTTTGAGTGTACCATGTGCTTCCTTTTTATTCCACTGCAATCTGCAAATGGCAGCTTTGTCTCTCCTCTTTTAATTCAATTCAACTCTCAACTCTCATGGAGATAAACCCTAATTAAAAAGAGACAAAGAAAACTAAAGCTACCCTTGTCTCTATCCTCATGTTCTTGCCTTTGTCTCTCATCTTTCGTTTTCACTCTTCATGAGATCAAGACACATCGTCTTTACCCTTCTTTATATGGTCACTCCAAATCATCTAAAATCTATGTCACCCCACAGGTAGACGTAGTTACTTTGATTTGTGGGCCCATAATTTGCTAGTTTCATACAGTATTTACAGAAAAGGCCAAAAGGGTAGCCAGAATATTCATGCCACATACATTCATGGTCTAGTCATCAACCAACATACTGTATGGGGTGGGTCAGTGTGCAGGGAAGAAAAGTGGGGAGGAATCTCTTTGAACTCTCCCTTCCCACATTCTCACTTTGCTCATCTTCTCTTCACACCACTGCAACTGTTCTTCATTGATGTCATACATTTTCAGAACCCTAGACACCAGTTTTAGATCTATCAGGCTCATCAATATCTCCATCTCCTCCTCCTCGCTTAGCTTTCTTTTTCTTAAGCATCTGTGAGACCGGCGGAGGTCTTTAAGCTTCATCTTCTTCTGCAAATTAGATTAACTGTTATGATGATGATCATGTGGAAGATGAAGTGATGATGACTGACAAACAAGCAGGGGGGTTTCTTCCAAGATTGAGATTATTGGAGAGTACGTAGACTCACTTTTTTATTCGCCTTCTTCACCATTTGGAGATGAGTTGGATCAACAGAACAACCGCGGTTCCTCTTGAAGAAAGCTGTAAAGATCTCGTAGTGGCTCTCTCTATCTGCCTTGAGAAAATCCATGAATGTCCGAATTCCATCTTTCATTATTCCCAGGAATTTAGTCGATGAGATACTTGACTCCTCCTTTTGATCATCTTCTAAATCTTAAACAAAACAAAATAACAGAATTTCAAAACACAATATATATGAAAATGAAAATGAAAGCAATGACCGATAGTATTTGTGTTCAAATTATTATTCATAATTGGATAATGACAAGGACCTTTTCAGTTTTCATTATTGATACCTCGGAACTCAGGAACTTGTAGTAGTTTTGGTGCAGAAATCCTCATCCGGGCATAAACTTCAGGTCTCCTGCCATGCTCATAAGGCTCGTTCTCGATGTATCGCTGTAACAGAACCTGAAACTGCTGAAACTGCTGTGCAATTCGGCCCGGACATCCGGGATCTTCTTCTTGGCGTGAAGCTCTAAGACGTTGGAGGTTCTTGTAGTTCCAGTTAAGAGCTTCCCATGCCAAGCAAACTTGAGCAACATAAGCATTCTCCAATTCATGATATGGATCTCTACTGTACCCAGGTGGCCTTTTGCGTTTGGTTGTAAACTTGTGTACGATCCTCTGCGAAATAGACCTTGGACATACTTCAATGGTCCTAAGAGATTCTGAAACGGGTTGTTAATCATACATTTAATTGGTTATGTTTATATGCAAACGACAAAAAGAAGGAACAGATGGTAAGTTTTACCTGTTTCACTGAGCTTCTGTGCACTAATTCGGTCAAAGAACGACATCTCCTCATCGTATTTCTGGAAGACAGTGTACGGCTCCCAGTTGGGGCAGCTCCTTCGTGATGAAGAAGAAAAAGGGTCTTCTGTTCCTGAATCCCTGAAATTAGTAGAGCTTCTCCATTCAGAAGAACTCTTAGAAGAAGTCGACCCAACTGTAAATGTGTCCCCTAACATCTCGTCGCCATCCTTCACTTGAGCCTGGACCTTTCGGGCTTCCAACTGAAGAGGGGCGAAAATTAAGAAATTTTCATCCTCCGACAGATGATTCCTTTCTTCATTTTCGCTGTCAGTTGCTCCTCCATTATCACATCCTTCTGATAAACAACGTATGCAATTTCAGTTCTAGTAACGTCGTCAACAAGATCAATATAACAAATCTAAGAGATACCAAGTAGCATTCATACTTCCATAAGCTATGTCATTAGCTGCTGCTGCAGAGTTCCCGCCCGTGCCTAGTTTAGTCTGCGTCAGTGTCGGTATTGTCGCAAGAACATCTTCATCTGGACTGCTGGTTTGCATAGGCGTGGCAAATAATGAATCAGAATGGCTAGATGTACATGTTTCGTCACCCTTATCTTCACTGTCATGTTCAAGTTTTGAAGCAGGTAAGCTACAAATAAACGATTGTTCCTCGAGAAATATTTCACCAAGGCCTTCAAATATGCTCTCATCAGATCCTGGGCGTTCTTCAAGAAGAGTTTTGTTCTTCTCGAGTCTTTTAGTGGGCAAAAACAACAGGGCTTCTCCGCCATGAATGATGTCGGCCACCAGATCCTCTTTCTCGGTACACTCAACACTAAAGTAGAGACGATCTTCTTCTTCTTCTTCTTCTTCTTCTTGTTCTTCTTCCTCTTCTTCGAAATAGCCAACTTGGTCTTCATAGTCGGTACTGCAAGAAGAACAAGCAAACTGAGGGACGTAAGAGAGAGAGAGAGAGAGAGAGAGATTGCAGCCATACCTCTTGTGTTTTGTTTTCCTGCACAGAAAATTGAAGACCTTGGCAAGCAGAATGGAGGAAAAGTAAAAGAAGAGGAAGAGAAGATGGAAAGAACTGGAGACATTGAAGAACAACAAAACTAGAGTTTCTTTTGGACATGGCATTTTTTTTGTTAATTGTTATTGCTTTGGAACGGCCTCCCAAGTCCTAAAATCTCTCTAAGATGAAAGAACGGGATAAAAAAGTATGCAATTGCAATCACAATATGTTCTAACATCCAAAATGCCCATCTCTCTTTATGAAATTACTACTGTATCCTATTTGTAGGAAATCCAGTTTTGGTAACATTATGTACAATAAAGAAGAGTACCTTGGTTTTGTCAAAAAAGTGATCCCACCATCACCCTTGTACGACTAAACAAACTTTAGCCAGCAGATCAGTGGGCCGGCCCGGCCACATTCACCCGAGCAGTTGGATGGTTTCTACTGTGGGTGGCATAGATCTGTCAAACTATACAAACACCCAGCAATCAACCAGAACCAAGGCCTGCACAACTCAGAACAGTTTAATGTACCCCAGAAGCTCTATATATGGAATCATTGGTTTGGAATGTACAGGGGATCGGAGCCAAGCCAAAGCCTGGGTTTTTGATCCTCCAAATCCCAATAATCACACCTTCTGATCGATTGTCTATCAAGGAGAACTTCTTTAGAGCCTTGGTTGTGCTGTCCTCTTTGAGTTTGATATGTTCCATTGTGTGTACTGTGTAGCACAGTACTGTTGTGGAATAATCAAAGGGGTCAAAAGCATATTAAAAAAAAAAAATTCAATATTCTTGGCGTTAAAAGTAGAAATTTCTTGTAGTGTAGTTGTATCAAAAGTAGAAATTTCTTGTAATCTACAAGTGAGCCTCAGCCACCCATACCTAGGCTACATGCATCTGAGTGTAATAAATGAATGGATTAGTCTGATGATATAAGGACTAATTTAGGATTAAGTAATAATTATTAGGATGTTAAGGTGTTTTTTAGTCAGTTACAATGAAGTTTTTATTTTAAGGTAGTGCAAGAAAAAGGGCTGGTGCAAAGGAAAGGGGGGTGTTTCCGTCATTTTGAGCAATCTGGCTGTTCAGTATTGCAGTTGCCGACTTAAGTCTTAAGTTTTATTAAGTTGGACGTTTTTTTGATAAGTTAACTTGGTCGTTAAGGTTCTGACATGCTAACGGCATCTTGGCATTAGGTCCACCAGAAGCCTAGACCTGGAGGCCCTTTTAAGTCTTGCTTTTGACCCGATTTGACCTTTAGCCCGGCCTCTTGTCCCTATCTTTTAAGTCTTTACTCTTTACCAATTTCGGGATGCTTAAGCTTAACTCATCAATCGGGCCGGACGGTCGGATCATTTCAATAGGGTGATCGCAACGGGCAACTCGAATGATAGTTTGGGTTCTCTGCGGCTGCGGGTTGTCATCTTGAGTCTTGACCCACGCAAAGCTCAGCGTGTTTGACCACAACCACAAGAGGACCCTATAGATTCACCCACATCAGTCCCAGCCCCAAGTTAATGATTTGATAGACTTTTAATGGATTTAGGCCTGTTTGATGATTAATTAATTGTTTAATGGATTTAGAAGTACTTATTTTAATAACCTTTTAGGCTATTTGATAACCCATTTTTTAAATCACTTGTTATGTTTTTAAGTATTTATTGGGATAAGGATGTTTGGTAATTTACTTTTCCCATAAGTGCTTATATTGACACAAATGATAATTTTAGTCCTTACTTTTATATATATGTTATACATTTTAACTGAGAGTCTACGTGGACCCCACTTCATGACAATTAAGAGTCCATGTGGACTCACACATGCACAAGTGAGAGTCCACATGGACCCCACTTCATGATCAGCACTATTTCTGCCGTCAATGACCCAATATCAAGCTCAGTACACCGGCCGTCGACATCACTGGTACATTGGCCGTTGACGTTGTTGGTACACCAGTTCCTGGTTGGTACACGGGTCGCCGATGTCATGTTGGCGGAGAGATAGAGACAAGGAGAGAGAGGGAGAGAAAAATAAGAGAATGAGAGTGGGGGTATTTTAGGTATTACAAAAAATATTAGGGACTGGTTTATCCCATTTTTTGGAGAAGTACTTCTTTAAATAGTACTTAAAAAAAAGCTAACTTTAAATCACTTTTTTAAATAAGTATTTCTTTAAAAACAAATACTTATTACACTCATTTTTATCAAACACTCATAAATACTTAAAAACCACTTAATGTGTGGTCTCATGTCTTAAAAGAAATACTTCTTTTAATAGTTCTAAAACAGGGTCTTAATCATTCAACTATTCATAAAATAATTAGGGAAACAATAAAAACCTCAAACTTTTATTCAAAAGCCCAACTAAAAAATGGCTTAGTTTATTGGACATGCGGAAAGGACTTTCAATGTAGCGTACGTACTCAGGCATTGCTTGATGCAAACCTTTTTAGAATTTAATTTAAAGTTCATCCGAACTAGGTGGATTATATTGCTTTGTATTTAATTTTGTAGAATTGTTTTTATTTGTTTTTAAATTGCCACATTAACCAAAAAAGAATTGAAATATGTTGTTGAGCATCATTTCTTTTTATTTTTTATTTTTGAGAAGTAAAAGTACAATGTTTTTGTTTTAAAAAAACTATTCTTTTTTTAAATCATCAACATGTGGTTTTTAAGACAAACAGATGAAGATGATATTACATAACAGATTTTCTTAAAATTTTTCGAGATACGTAAATAAATTTGGTAAAGATGCCCTTCATAATTTCATATGCAATCTTACTTATCTTTACTAAACATAATATTGAGCTCAGCCCAGGACTAATGGTCCAGCCCATTAACTTCTTTTTGTCTTCACTAATCAACCATGGGCTTTGATGTTAAGAATTGTCTTGGTTGGAGTTCGTTAGCCATACCTTAATACCTACGCCAGGACATTTTACGAGGATAATTTCTAGAGATCACTTATTATTTATCCCGTGATTGATTAGACTGCGTTTGTTTTAGGTGTAAATGAGAATTAAGATAAATTTTATATTTTGGTTTGATTTTGTTAATATTTATTTTTAGTGTAAATTTTACATTAAAAATCGATGTAACTTTCACTCACATTAAAATTTTATATCAATGATCAATATAAACACTACATCAATAAAATTAATGTAATTTTTTACACGCATTAGCCATACCTTTTTCACATAACGGTTCACTATATTTAAACCGATCAATTCACTTTTCAATCGATGTATTTTTACACTGTAAAAAACTTTACACTAAAAATCTACGCAACCTTAATTATCCGTTCAGGCTCGATAGGTATGGCCGACGAGGCCCAGCCAAGATAATTCTAAACATCAAAGCCTAAGCTTGATGAGTGAGGACAAAAAGAAATTAATGGGCTGGACCGTTAGGCCTGGGCTGGGCTGAATATTAGGTCTAGTAAAGACAAGTAAGGTTGCATATGAAGGGCATCTTCACCCTTGATACCTACGCTAGGACATTTAACGGAGGATCATTTCTAGTGATCACTTATTATGCTTCCCCTTGTGGGGTTCATCCATAATCCATTCAGGCTCCATAGGGGTTGGGCTTAACCTGGATCGGATCCAACCAATCGAATGGTATTACCAAACCTAATCCGACCAAACTAATTGAATAGTATAACAAGCAATTGCCCCTTTGAAAGAATGTTTTTCTTTTGTATCATCCTTAATTATTTTTGTTATTGATGTTATGGTGAGAAACTGGAAATAGGCACAAAAAAAATGGTGTAACCTCTATCATGTTTGTCACTTGTAGGCCTAAAAAATACAAGTAATTAAAGATTTGCTAGTTTTTTTTTTTTTCAAAATTTTCAACTTTTTACAATCTTAGATCAAAGATTAATGTGTAGTTATAAATTATCATAAAATGCTTAAATTTTGCACTGCCGACTTGAAAAGGGCTAGACGTAGGTCAAATTATATTATGGATTAACGTGTATCACTTCACAGCCATTGGATGGGACTTGAATCCAATGGTGTTGTGTGGTTTTCTACAAGTGCTTCTCACACCACCATGATCAGCTGCATCAATGCAAGACAAGTTTACGAGGAATGGATAGAACAGACACTTCCATCACCTAGCTTATGATGCATGTAAATACAACAAACAACCATTTCGGCATGAGTTCGCGGAGCTCGGCCCACTCAGTCTTGGACCTGTACCATGCTCACACATAATGTGGGCCGGACCCAAGCCTAACAAATCCTAAGTCGCAGCCCGGCCCAGATTATAACATATAAGGTATGTATTACTAAATTAATATTGATTTGCATAGCTGATGAGGGTAGATTTGGCCCTCCAGTGAAATTGCGACACGTGGCACCTCGTGACAACTAGGCAAACACCCAGGCAAATAACTTATCAAGTTAGTGTCCCACCCGGGCACCGGTCTGGCTGGCCTGGCGTGACCTACACGCGGCCTACGGGCGGCCTGCGCACGACCTGGCGCAGCCTATGCGACCTGGCCGGATCAACCTGGCACATGATCCGACCTGGCCGACCTGGCAACCTATAAGACACCCACTGAAAACCATTAACGGCATACCCCGTGAGCTCGGTAGCTCACCAAGGAGCTCGCCAAGGAGCTCGGTAGCTCACCAAAGAGCTCGCCAAGGAGCTAGGCAGCTCTCCAAGGAGCTCGCCACCAAGGAGCCAGGCAGCTCGGCATAGCTCCCTCGGGCTTCTCGCCACTTGTAGGGTAGCTTGGTATAGAAGAGTAGTTTGGCGTATCGCAGGAAGATCTCCTGTCTGACAACCTGGCCCAGACACCGACCCGCCGACTGACACAGGCGCCGACCTGGCAACCTGGCCCAGACATAGGCGCCGACCTAACAACCTTGTTAGACAGTTTTTGTATACCCTTAGCTTCAATCAAGAATGATGTACTTTATGAATTTATTGTAAATGAATAAAAGTACATATTTGATTCATGTTCCCTTGGTGTGTTTCTGTGTGATACCCTTAAACTGGACACTTAATGAGACTCGTGTTAGTTTAGAATGTTCACAGCCAGTGGGTCGGTCTGGGGAGACCTAT